TGTTCTATAGCACACAATCTTGATTAAGAATGTTTTCCGGTTATCCAGCGGGCGACACAAGCAAGCCATATCATTAAAATCACCCTGTACAGTTACATTGGCCACGGCTGTCTGGTCAGTGTATTCTCATTATCAGTTCGTATGAAATCGTACGAAAAGTTATGCACAGTAATTTCTTACGTTTTTGATGTTTTTTTCATGCTATTTCTTCGTATTTTTACGTCTTGCCTCGAGACAAGATATCCTTGCGCATGCGTATCTTACGCACCATTCAATAACATAGAATTTAACATACAATTAACCCTGACCCTGACCCTAACGCCTAACCCTAAGATACAAAACAGCAAGCAACGTTGTTAGAGACATCAAGAAGTAATTATTGCACTGTTTTTCCGAGTTTTACGTCCGTCCGCGGATCTGCTTTTTTCATCTGTCTGGCTGCGCATGCACACTGATCTGTTTTTACGAGGAAAAAAAATCGAAAACGTACGAAATACTGTGCATAACTTTTCGTACGATTTCATACGAACTGATAATGAGAATATGTTGGTCTGGTTGCATTGCATAGACAAATTACGTCATCCATCTACCATCCATAGATATTTCTGCTCCTCGCATCTGGTAAGATGCGTAATTATGCGGGCAGTTCTTTGCAGAAAAACATGGCAGTCGAGCAAAAGCTCGTACTGTCTCCTAAAGGGTTTGGCAATATAAGCATCTACTGACTATCATGACTTGGTCAATAAACATCACAGCATCAACAAATTGCAATGAACTATGGATGAGAAAAAGAGACATTGAAGATGTTGAAAACAAATTTTTTTCCTAGTCTACATGTGATATGGTGTCGTTAGTTTGCGGTCTTTGCCCTAGTCTGTCCCCTAGAGTTTACAAGCGAATTGGGTAAAATTTGCAGAGCATAAAATGATGAAACTGCTGTTATGGCAACGATGCGCACCTCAGTTCTGCACAGAACATAGAAGCATAAACCAACCTCTAAATGCTTTAACAAGACCTTAAACAGGAAAGTCTGTTGTTGCCACAAAGTCTATCCATCCATCCATTTTCAGTCACACCATTTTCAGTCTGTCTCGCCAGTCCATCGCAGGGCAAAACAGAGACAAACCATTCACACACACACACCTAAGGAGAATTTAGAGAGGCCAATTAACCTATGCCAGAAAGTCTGTCTCTGGATTTTATGATCTGAAACATTTACGAGGGACAATTATTAATATGACTATTTCATAGCACTGTATGAACACACCAGGCATTTAGGGACCTCTCAAATCCTTTCATTTGGAGCTAGAACAAGCTATCTTAAAAGACTTGCTGGAAAAAAAGCTCAATTTAACTCATTACAAAGGACTATTAATCTGTTGGCAGGCTTATCAACAGCTGACCTATATACTTATATGAAGACACAAAGCTTATTTTATAACTAATTCACATGTTTTCTCTCCTGTAGACTCAAGAGAAAATACATTTAATGGATTTTCTGGCACCAATAGGGCCGTTTGTAGAAATGATATAAAGTCAGCCTAAAGAGCAAAAACTCATTTTCTAATGTCCTTATGCATTTAGATTGGAGGTGTCCTTCGCATAACCCCCACCATCAGCATCTGCCGCTTACTGAACAATGTTGGATTTCTTTCCAGCTGCATTAGAGCACACACCCATTCTGAACTCAGAACACGGTGGGAGAGTGATTTTCTCAGCTGCAATCAGCAACAAATTCGCTCCGAAATGAGATCCAAGATTCCAAAAAGGAGGGATGGGGACAGAAGCTGTGGCTGGTTTGGGATTAAATTGACAGAAAATGAGTCAGAGTTTAAAACTAATCCCCTTTTTCTTATGTGGCAAACGTTTCTGCCTGAAATATGAGTGAGAGAATGCTGGTTAAAGCTGTGAAATGAGGTGATTAGACGGGTGTTTGATTTGCATTTATATATATATATATATATATATATATATATATATATATATATAAAAATAGTAAAAACATGTAAAATCTTGATGTATCCACTCCTAAGCTGAGATAGGTGGAATATTTTCTCAAATCCCATCGGAGCTCTGATGCAAATACAACAGAATCTGTTGCCCTAAAAAGCCCCTATGCAGTTCTAAAAGTGTCAGTCTCTTACTCGCATATCATTAGCCTTTGGCAGCTCTGTGCAGCAGGACTGGGCAGTGATGAGACAGAACCAGGACAGAGGGCAGAGAAGGCAGTAGCTAAAAATCATTGACAACCTCCGAGTTGGACTGTTTTTTATAAATAGAATTGATCGTTTTGTTCTTTTTTTTAGGGGACTTTTTACTTTCAAAGAAAGTATTATAAAAGAAAAATCTTGGACAGTTTTTGCATATTGTGTAAAATTAAGATCAGTATTTTTCACTTCTGATGTAATATTTTGCAAGCATTTGGATAGCAGTGTTTGAGGGAAACTGGTTAAGTTAAGCTAGGCTTACTATAGATCCATTTTCTGTCACGCTTATCCCAAGCGGGGTAACGAGGGGTGCCTATCTCCAGCTGCCTATGGGCGAGAGGCGGGGTTCACTCTGTACAGGTCGCCAGTCCATCACAGGGACAAACAGGATAAACAACTGTTTACACACACACTCACACCTAATTAAAACGTATATATAACCTAACAGTCATGGTTTTTTTTGGACTGTGGGAGGAAGCCGGAGTACCCGGAGAGAACCCACTCATGCTCAGGGAGAACATGAAAAGACCCCAGGCTGGGAATAGAACCTGGGAACCTTCTTGCTGCAAGGTGGCAGTACTACCCACTGCTCAAACGCTGTGCAATATTTGTAATCGTTGCATGCAGCTACAACTCAGACTGTACGAAGAATCTCTAAGGTCTAAAAGTTCACAGCTCACGATGTACAGTATGTTCTCACGCTGTGCAGCCCGACGCTCTGATGTGATCTACCTGCTCACGCTGCACGTCCAAAAACCGCACGTCGGATGGACTGAACGCTGAGAGATGGCGCTGATCGGACTCAACAATCTGGAAGAAGAAGAACTCCTTTGCTTGCACATTAGTTCTCGAGGTTCTGGTAAATCAGCTCATAGACGCTTGTAGCTCTGCTTTCAATAGCAGGATTTGTCCACGAACATCTCACAATGGCTAAATGAATTTCAAACATATTCCATTTTCTCCAGACCTTACGATTCCTAATCGGGATCTGGTTGTTAGAGGCTAATCGCCCCTCTCTAACGCCTTTACACTACACCGCGCAGGACCCACTATGAGGCTGAAATTGCCCAATCCAAAAATGTCTCTTATGACTGCAGAATTGGCCCGAAAAGGGCCTACCGTGAATGTTCGGCTTTAGTTGGATTGACTTTTTTTCTCTTACATGGTGCATAGTTATGTTATATATATTTTTCATTGTTCTCCAGTAGCTCTCTTTTTTCTGAAAGATTACTGCTTTCTGCCGGGCATTATTTGTGATTTTGGTGTTTGATGTTTTGTTTTTGCTGAATTTGGTTTCAAATAAAGCCCATAATGAATATTTACATAGACAAAATATTTATGGTACCACACATGGAGTATAAAGGAAGTAGCTTACTGCTAAACTATTAGCATCTTCCAGTAAACTGTGGAACTAATGAAGAAAAGTGTGTTTGATCCCACAAAGGATAGGACTTAAGTAGTGCATATTATGTATTGGTGTTCTCTAAAGCAGACGGGAGGAGTTTAGATGCGGCCCCAGACTAAATATCCTTATTACGGTAATACCGATACTAATAATTAAAATGCTATTGTTCATCTCTATAGAATTTAACTTGTGTTTATTCCAGTTAAATTGCTTAAGTTTCTTAGTTTGACAATATCCCCCTGTTTTGTTCCTTAATGTTCTGATTTGAGGCTCTGTGGAGGATTTACTAAAAATTAAACTTGTATGGGTTTATCTAAAACCAAGCAGAATTGTTCCTACTTTTTCCCATCATTCTCCAAATTCTTTCCTTTCTTAATAGCATTATTCAGTTCTATTAATGACCAAATTCAGTATTAAAGTTGAGATTTTTTAATCTATTAAAAGCAGATTAATAAACACATTTACCAGCCAGGCTTTTCTTTTTATGGTACATTGCACACAGTAGAGAGAAAGATTATTTTACATCAAGAGCTTATATAAGCTTGGCTCTCGCATTATGTTACAATAGAGCTCTAACCTCCAATGTATCAGTAGAGACTATTTGTTTGGCTGTAAAAATGTCAATGAAATATTATCTATCCTCTCCTTGCCAGTGGGCTGCCCTCCTAAACAGTGCAGGCTATTATGTCGTACATTTCTACCTGCTCAATCCAACTTCTGGCTTTTTATCATTTTATTTTATGTTTAATAATGCAGACCTGTTGGTTTATTGCGAGATATTGCCGGAATGTCAGGCTCTGTTAAGTAGCTGGAATTCTATTTAGGCAGGAAAAAACAAAAAAATAACAAAACAAAATAACCTTATTTGATCATGATCAAAGTATACTTGGTCTTTTTGTAAAGGCATATCATGTCTTTTCACCTTTAAGAGACGTTATTGTTTGAAAAACTTATCATATATATATATATATATATATATATATATATATATATATATATATATATATATATATATATATAAAAGCCAATCACTGGAAGTTAACTTTCTCTTTCTCAGGTTGGTTTCTCCTTAAAACAAGAGTTGACATGAGTGCAGAGAAACAGGTCCACACCATATTAGGAGGGAATCTACAGGAGCCTATAAAGAGGAGCATGAACTCATGATTTTGATATATTGAGGGCCTCATCATTCTGCACACAAAGAACCTTCAAAATATCAGCATGTTTTACATGTACATTCTGCTCAATCTTCTCCAAAAGAATATGAAAGGGTGATTAGTCAGAGAGTAAGAGATCCAAAACCAGTTCAACACAGTAGGAAATCATGGTGGTGAACTTTTCATGGGTTCTGTAATTTATTCTGCATCTTTTCTTCTCTTGGTTCTCAGATTCAGAGGTGGTGTACAGAAACGGAGACGGACATGTCGTCAAGTTCAACTTTGTCCTGAATGAGACGGAGATCATTTTGGCGAACTCCACGTTTGTGAGTCATTGCTGCTGCTTTTATTGTCCTTTGTTTATTAAGCTGAAAAAGGCATCTGTTTGTTAGAGTACTCATAGGTAGACATCAAGCGTCAACAAAGTTTTTTAATTGCTTTAATATGATTTCATGCAGGTTTGGAGAGTTTAAAGGACTGAATATTGAATAAAGATAGCAATAAAATAAATCTTCTGGTCCAAGCTCACCTGCAGGAAAAGCATTGAAATCTCAAACATGGTTGGCTGGCTTTTCATCATCAACATTACCTCAAGAAACAAACATTAACATCCTAAATTTTCAGTTCAAGGGAAACAAATGTTATATTTAGCAGTTTTCTGCTTCCATCGTGTTAATCCTATTTTGTTATTATAATCCTTGTCTGCTGAAACCGATCGGTCCCGTTTTCATCATCATCTCATGCACACCATGTTTTACCTAGAATAGCAGAAAAGCTGTAAAATCTGCTTTGATGACGACTGGAGGTAAATACTGCTGGATTTGGGAGTTAGATTTTTTTTACATTATTATATGCACAAATAAGGAAAGAGCTTCAGTTGTTCACATAATTCAAACACTGAGCAAAATAGTACTGAATGTCCCACTTTTTTGAGAACATGAGATTGAATTACACATATTAATCTGGTTACCACACTGCATCTCTGCCTCAGTGTTTTTATGAGCCATTATACATATCTGCATATCCATCTGGAAACCTTCCGTTTAAGTAATTTTGGGAAGGGGCGAAAATACTGGTTAGCTGATTGGCCTATGATGGTGATAGACGGGCCAAATAAACCAATCAGATCAACAAAGCATATGACGTACTATCAGAGCGACGACAAAAACACAACCACAAGCCAGGCACAAGCCAATTGATAGATCAAACTCTTGCCGAAACCAGTCGGGAGAAGAGCAAAACATCTTTTCCTCTGAGAAAAGCCTCCAGAGCAGTGTTTTGCTCTTCTTTCAGTGAAGAAATACTCTGTAATTCCGATAAAACTTGCTTGATAGCCAAGCTAACGCTAGTTTCATCGGCTGAAGCCGCCATGTTCTTTAGACTGAACTGTCGCGCTTCTCGTTGTGTCACGCCTCAACCCGCCTCAAAGCCAACGCTGATTGGACGTTCGTTTGGTGAACGGCTCCAAATTTTTTTTAACGGAAAGTAGCCAGACTGATCTGTGAGTGAAACATTGAAAGCTCGCGAGATCAGGATGGTCTCACAAGGCTACAAGTGGCCTGGGTCGCATTGGAAAAAATCTGATCTGTTATGTTCAGACTGCCATGAGATGATCAAATGCAGGTCGTGTATCAGCAAAAAAAAAAATCGGATTTGGGTCAAAGGTTCTGCTGCTGTGAGAATGTAGCAAAAGTGTTGTTGAGGGAATTGAGGGGAAATTTCAACAGAGGTCCATTCCCATTTCCACACTAAAACAAAATAAAAATGCTGCTCGAACATGAATGAATATCTGCAATCGGTGACAAGTAATTGAATCATGTGAATCCTAATTGATTTATTACATTTAAAAGTTGAAAATTCAAATCAAGTTGTGCAAACTTAATTCAATTACTTTTTGCTAATTGAAGCAATTTCTTTAAGTGGTTGCTGTATTTCTTTTTAAATGCACTGTGTACAATACACAATGTGGGTTAAACTATTTATGCAGACTCACTGTCCTGGATCAGACCAAAGACAGTTGTGTTGCCTGCAGGTGTCATGATGGGATTGAGATGTCTAACCCACATGCAGAGAACACTCAGGAGACAGAGAAAAAGTTCAAAGGTTTATTGACAGAGTTTTCAAATGTGCACTGGAACTGGGTTGGTCCGACTGGTCACGGGAGGAACACCACTAAGGAGAACAGAGAGGTAGAGGATTTCCAGGGATCCAGTAGTTTGTCAGGTGATTGAGTTAATACCTGCTCAGGGGCGGGACAGATCAGCAGGAGGGGGATAACCCTGAGGGTCCAAAGGTTTGTCGGCAGGCAGAGGGCTGAGGGCTAAGGCAGAGACTAACCGAATGCAGGCAGGCAGATTCCAGAACTGAGTCACCTCCAGGTTTCCGGTTTTCAGACAGGTCAGGTTCTGTAGGTAGAGAGAGAGAACTGGATCAGGCAGGTTCACGCAAAAACACAGAGAAATGATCAGGCAGGTTGGCTCAGGTCTAGCTGTACCATTACTGGCTAACACTCTGGCACTGGAGTGTCAGTCTCCGCCTCCTTAAGTAGGAGTCTTCTGATGAGCAGATTGAAGACAGGTGTAGCAGTAGCTCATGCCCCCAGGAGATCTCGTGCGCCCTTGGGTGGAGAAAGTGGACAAACCTCCAGATCCCAACAGCAGAAGCTTCACAAATTGTAATTAGGTGACTTTTAAAAAAACAATTTTTGAGAGAGAACATGAATGGAGAGATACCACAACCCTGGGAAACACCAGGGCTAATGGTTATTGTGCAGAAGATTCCCTTCTTCCTTCGTCATTGCATCATCTGTCTTTCCCCGTTTGCATCCTGTACCCCTCTCCGTGGCACTCCGTAAACAGTAAATGGGCATCTCTTAAAATATGAAAAAGTGGTGTAAATTATCAAAAAAAAAAAAAAAAAACTATATTGATTCAGTACCAATATTGTCTATTCCATTAGTTTGGTCTGCCAAAACGTATTTTTACCTACTCACTTAGCATATCCATCTCTTAATCATTGCAGCAGTGCTAATCTCTACCTCTCTCACCGGATTATGTATCAGATTTGAGTTGAGTTGGTCTACATGAATGATTTAGTAGGAACTATAGTGACATATTTTCAGAATCGTGTTTCCTGCCAAATCTAAAACATTTTACCCCCTGCCTGTTTCCTCTAGGTCTCCTTCAAAGTGGCAAAATACTCGCTGTCCCCAGATCTGAAGTATGCTCTCTTTGCGTATGATGTCAAACAGGTGAGCTTCCAATGAAAGCTGATTACCATGAATAAAGAACCCATGAATAACAGCTGGTGTTTAGAGATTTTGCCCATTATAATCACACTAGCTCTGATTGCGATTTATCCTGAATGTTATCAGCTATTCTTGTCACCTTTTGTTTTATATCCTGGCAGATCGGCATTTTCATTGTGTGCCTATGAAATACCCTGCGGCACCATCACACATATGCACAGCACACACGCACAAACATATCACCCAATTGTGATGTCTCTATTCATATTCACAGGCTGCTTTTTTCCTGACAAGTGATTTCCTGCCTTGGCAAAGGGTTGCTTTGATAGTTTGGATTTTAGAGGGATGGATGAATTTGTTGTGCCGCTTCTGAGCAGAGTTCTCTGGGAGAATAAATTGTACCACCTGCAACGAACAGGTGTAGATTAATTTTGTATGATTTTATTTTTTAAATACCGATTTTTCTGTATTGTTTGTGCCATCAGTCAACCTGCAGGAGGTTTTCCCTTCTCACCACAGCGAAGGATTTCCAATCGATTTTTACACCGCAAGCACTGCTCCAGAAACGCTGCAGCAGCTGATAAAGTGAAGGATGTGTGTGCTACATTATGCTCTTTGCTGATTGCCCTGTCAATATAATTTCTTGGTTTGTCAGCTTTTGTAAAAGGAAGAGTGCACCTTAAATTTAGCTTTAATTAATTGGATTCCAGCTTCATGTGTTGCTTTAGCAACAAAGAATCACCTCTTACAAAGCTTTTAGTTGCCCTCAGTTGGGTTTCTTTCAATTGCAAATTGCTTTTTTTTTCAGGAATGAACGGCCCGCTTCAGGTCAAACAGCAGAAGCTAAATGGGGCTTTAACTAGGCCATGCCAAATCTTGGAAATTGGGATAACTATTAAGCGACATGTTTTCTTATTGGATTTACACAATATTTCCAAAACAGTGTTGCAGGTTTAGCCATTTTAGCCATTTAAAACATATTTGAACGTATTTAAAGCAGTTTGTCTGTCCAAATGGACACATATATGATTGATATGAAAAGAGAATTTAATATCTGCTGGAACCAAGCAGTTTTTTATCAATTCAACCTCCTACATGTTGATACTACAACCGTGACATTCGCAATATTATTGAACACCTATTGAGTGTTTAGTACATTTATTTAGTGTACGAATATTAACTAACATGTTTTCAACAATGTGTTTCATTCACTTTGATTATAAAAACTTTAAGTGTATGTGTATCAGTAGCGACTTGCTTAATGTGTGACAGTACCATGTGCATTTCAATCACAACTTTCAAACTATGGAGAGGTATATGGAGTGAATGTTGTTGAGTTTTTTCCAAATTGAAATTTGTAAAAAAACAAAAAAAAACAAAATGTAACCCAGAAATTAAACTTTGAAAAACGTCTTAATCAAAAAGAGGTTGTGAGTGTAACTTATTCATTTTCTCAATTTCAATTTTTTTCAAAAATTATATTTAATATTTACTTTTTTCTTTCTAAATTCTTCTTTACTATATTTTATTTTGT